CGTGTGTGCGTGGCGAGAAAGTGCTTGTCCACCTGTTCATCTTCGAGTCCAACTGAAGTCGCGGTATCGACGTTCTCCAGTTCCCAGAATCTCTGAAGTGACGTGTCAATATCCAATGTTGTCGTGAGTGTAATGGGGTAGTTGCGGTTAGTTGCGGTATATTGATTGATGTGATCACCCATCCAAAAATTGTAGAAATTGCGATTATATTTCCCTATGTTTTCTTTCTAGTCAGAGTGGACCACACATAACCGCTACCCAATAGTCCAGCTACCCAATAGTATGTCAACTGGTGCGTTTCCTGCTATCTGAATACATTGTGCAGTTTCCTTTGCCCTCTGTGACTGGGCAATGTGACTTAGAGTCACCGATGTATTATGTGGAGCGGTTTGTTGATTCTCATCAACTGCTTCCGCGAGATTTCCAATGAACTGAGATTGATTGTTCTTTACGTGTATGAGAGAATGGTGATGACCCTTGCATTGTCTACACGTGTATTTCGATTTGCATTTATTCACTCCATGACCAGGTTTAAGGCAGTTGTAACAAAGATGTTTTTCTTTCACGAAGGATCGTCGTAGTTCACCTGTCATATCCAAAAATTGTTGACATGCATACAGACTGTTTCTGTTGACTTGCATTTGATGCAGCTGATGCCTTCAACTGCTACCAACGACTGTGTAACTCGTCTTTGTCCTTTTACTTGTGTTGTTGCTTTCACAACAGCTGAAAGTTCATGGTTGCTCAGCTCCAACTCTTCGCAGCGAGCATCCAAAAACGTAAAGATTTCCTCAAGAGTAGGTGACGTCTTGTCCAGACTTCGCTCAATCCACCTCCGCCGCGTGTCAGCGTCAAGTTTCTCAAGCACCAAGAATATAATCCAGCAATCACGTCCCTTTTGATCGATAGCATCTAGACACGTATAATCTCATTTGCGCCATCTGCTACCTTTCGCAATATTGGAGCATTAATTTTCGTAGTTGCTGGTAAGCCCATGAATTGTTCCAGAAATGAATTAACGATATGCCGTGGACGGTTATATCGTTCCTTTATACGTTCCCAAGCTGTGGTATAAGCTGTGTCTATGACTGCCAAATGTCGCACTAAGTTGGCAGCATCCTCTATTAGTATTGTTTTCAAATGATGAAATTTCTGTGTATTAGACAAATGGTGATTGTTATGAATTGTGCTTTCATAAATGTCCTGAAAAGCTGGCCACTCTGTGTGGTTGCCAGCAAACCGTTTGATTTGAATTTTGGGTAATTCACTGTGAATGGCAGGCGCCGCGCTGACCGCATGCAATGCCGTTGCCGGCTGTGTGGCGTCGTTGCCGTCGTTGTTGCCATGCATCATTCTTGTTGTTGTTGTTTGATTAACTGCAAGCCTTTCGAATAGTTGTTGTTGCTGTTGTAGCAAACTTATAATGGCGTCGTTCTGAGGAAGACTGTTGCTTTCATCACCTTTATTTGTTGTACTTGCAGTTTTTTTCGTTACAAAAACATGTTTCTTTAAAAGCAAAGCATTTGCCTTTAAATACTTTTCCTCGTAGATCTCATTATCAGCCTCTGGATCACATGACCCTCCATCTCGTCTTGGGGCTATCCCCAAGTGTGGTGAACTGTTTCCAAATAATCTGGTGCTGATCTATCCGTGAGGTTACCTATTCCGCTTCAACTGGATGATCTTTCTCACTCCACGCTAGTATGCGCGTGAGAGAAGCCTTTACTCTGGCGCGAACCTTACTCAAGCTTTTAATTTTTCCATTGCAAAAAATTAACTTTGAGTAATAAATCAACAATTCCCTTTCTTGGTATCCGGTGTGATGGACCAATAATGTTTTGAAACAAGCTTCCGGGCGAGTAGTGGACTGTAGTAAATAAAACGCGTGTGTACTGAACTGTTGTAACTTTAATACTAAATGATAATTTCACAATTATTAGAAATGTCGTCGCAGTGGTCACAAATATTTCAAAGGGTGTATACACTAATCAGTATATATGAACATGGTTAATGAGTAGAAACATAAATCAAATGTGTGTAATCACTGTGTTGCAAAGAAAGAATGAAAATATAAGATATGTTGCAGGCGTTCATCAACAATAACTTTATCATAAAACTTATTCGTAGACATATATATAAAAGTCTTTCCATAGAGAATAATAACTTAATATTGGCACCCTATTACGCAGACGATAGGTATTTTGATTCTGTGGTAAAAAAAATAGTTCGTACCACCTGCGGCATTTATGTATATACCTTGACAGACGTGGTAAAATACAAAATAATGAAGGAATCCCAATACTTTACCTATGTATAAGGAGGTCAACAACAAAAACTATAAACATGAGCAACGCAATAGCAGATAATAAAATGCGTTTTGACAAAAAAAATAGGAAATAGAGACAAAAGAGAATCAACCATAATATCCAACAAACATTGGTGGTTACATGAAGATAATCGCCTATGAGTAGATCCCCCCTCTCTTAACCCTTGTAGTTTATAAAATCTTTTATAAAATTTTTTATAAAATTTTTTTTAAATGTATAAGTTTTCATTAAAGTTTCTTTTTTCAACAACTTCATAAGTTATTAATATTACCATAGGTTTTCGAAAAACGAATTGTATATTACTTTAAATAAATTCTAGGGAAATTAGGGACTATTAGAACAAGAATCCATATGAATATATTAACTAGGGTTTATTATATTATTATAAGCAGATATATTTAACTGGCATAAAATAAAAAATAAAAAAATTTTATATTTAACATACGCTAGGAAAATATATAATTTATGATAAAATGCTTGGAAAACTTGAAACAAAATATGTACGTTAGAAAATATCTATGCAGTTCTTACTGATTTCGAACGGTGGAATTGTACAAAATCGACTTGAAAAATCACTTTTGAAACGTGTTCAGTTAGAGCCTCGATTGGTGTCAAAATACCCATTTTTATTTTCATATAGGCTGCAGAGTTAATAGTACTTTCCAGCAATAAAAGTTCTCCAACACAACGAGTTGGAATTGCTCCCCAGATCATAATGTATGCGATCGCATTATGACAGTAAGTGGTCTCGGTTCCGTAGCTTAAGCTGTCAACGACAAATTGAATCAACTGATTCAAATAAACCGATCCAATCTAAAAAATAAAAAAGAAAAGGTTCAAACCTTATTCATCTTACGATGGAAGAGCAACGCATCCGAATTTTTCCGACAGATGACACGATGCAGCGATATGGACATTTGGAACATTTGGACAAATGGAATTCCAGCTTCAACTCAATGTTTTGGCACAAACGTTTCAAGCATTAACTATGCAACATAACTACAATCAAATGCTACACTCAAATTTATATTGTAATGAACCTCGATGTGGTAAAGAAGATAATTCACAGGAAAACCGCATGAGACAATACGAAAGAGCTTTGGAGACAGAATCCGTAATTCCATTTGCAAAAAAACCTTCGGTAGAAAAATGTGAAGAAGAGGGAAGACGATTGCGCAAACAAATATTAAAAAGAATAGGAAATGGTTCAGAGTTAACGCAATTTCAAGCTCGGCAGACATTTAGTTTATATTTAGAATCAGTGCTGCGACGAATAACACAAGAACCGAAAGACATACATGAAACAAGAAAGGAATGCTAAAGTCGAGCAGGCTCAACTCTTAAATACCCTGTACCACCCCACAAAAAAGTAATTAAATTAATTAAACACGCATATAAACACGCATAGGTACGTGATGTAAATGTATGCTGTTAAAACTGAACATAAACATGTATTCTAATTTAATTTAATTAATTTAATTTAATTAATTAACTAAATTAATTTGATTAATTAACTAAAGTAAATATAAGCAAGATAGAACGCTACAGTCGAGCAAGCCCGACAGTAAAATAGCCTGTACTCTCCACAAAAAAGAAAAATTAAAAAAAAAAAATTTTTAAATTAAATTATTAAAAAAAAATTAATGAATTAATTATTAAAATTAATTAACTAAATTAAATTAGAATACATGTTTATGTTCAGTTTTAACAGCATACATTTACATCACGTACCTATGCGTGTTTATATGCGTGTATGTATGCAGCACAAAGTTGAACCAAAGCAGCAACAACAACAACAGCTGCGGGTAGCGCTGCCGACAGAGCTGCAGGCAGCGCATGAGCAGCGATTTTACTTATGGCTATAACTTTCTTCAGAATTGACCTATCATGATGAAATTTGGCACACGAACATAATCCCTAGCTGGATTAATTACCAAATTTGAATTCGAAATTCCAAGAACTACGGGAGTTACGTAAATCACCTGGATACCAAGTTTGGTAATTCTAGCTCTTGTACAGCTCATACAGTCGTCTTCTCATCCTGATCAAGAATATATATACTTTGTGGGGTCTGCCACGCCTCCTTCTGTGTGTTACATACATGCGCACAAAACTAGTATAGCCTTTCACCCTTTGGGTACAGGCTATAAAAATATTCCATGCATGCATACATACATTTACATTTACATCAGAATCGTGTCTTATGCGTGTTTGTGTACTTGTACATATGTATGTATGTGGGATTGGGTCTATTTAACTTGTTGAAAGAAATAGACTTGTAGTTTTTGTTTATAATGTTTAATATAAAGGTATTTCATTAAGTGTTAAGTATTGAATTTAAATGAAACTTTGAAATGAGTCGTCGTCTTAAAACCGTCTTGAAATCGTCTTGATCCGCTTGATCACGTCTTTTCGTCTTTAGCTCTTCTTTTCGACTCGTCTCGTCAGCTCACTTCGCTTCTAACTTTAATTGTATCGATAATTAATCGTCTTTTCAGGTATGTGGTGGACTGGCTGTGCATAGTTGCCAGACCAATCCCACAACTCGGCCATCCTTCTATGCATTCGTCCCGAATGCTGCGTCGTCGTCGTCAATGCTAAACCAGCACTTCATGAACTCTGCGCATGTAGATGTGCGCCGAGGACCATCGCCGGCTTGCGACTCCTTGACCACATCGTAGGTATCGTTAGATTTGACTTTGATGATGCGGTATGGGCCCAAGTACTTTGGTTTCAACTTAAGCCCACCACCAAGTTGTGTGCGCTTGATTGCCACAAGATCACCCTCCTTGTACAAAGTCGCCGGCTTACGTCGCAGGTTGTATGTCTTCTTGTTTTCTTCTTGAATACGGATTATTTGGCGTTTGGCACTTTTTCGAAGTTCATCTCGGTTGTTGTTAAACGTGTGGACCATCTCTTCGTGGATCAGCTCCCTGAGCTGCAGGCTGTCTTGTGTGCGCATCTTCACACCAACTAGCAACTCGAATGGTGTCATCTGCGTGCTCCTGCAGTGGGTTGAGTTTATAGTCTTCTGCACCCTGTCGACAAACTTGTACCACTTGCTTGGTTCGTCTATGGACAACTTGGATAGAACTGAAATTATAAGAGCGTTAAGTCTTTCTACCTGTCCATTGGCACGAGGCAGTCCCGTCGTAATCGTGTGGTGTGCAATACTCTCATTCTCGCAGTATTTCTTGAAGTCATCTGATGTAAAGGCGGAGCCCCTGTCAGATATTATTTGGATAGGATTTCCAAATACGGAACTTTGCGCTTGAAGCCTTGATATCACCTCTTTAGCCGATGTCGTCTTTGTGGGGTAGAGCCAACAAAATTTGGTAAAACCATCCCGCTAGGATGTGTTTGTATTGCTTATGGGTGGATTCCAAAGGACCCAAAAAGTCAATATGAAACGTCTGTAATGGCTCCTCTTAGGCAGTGGATGGAGGTCACCTTATTTTTTCCCAAGTATTCTGTTTGTCACAATACATGGGATGCAGCATCTTATTTGTCGCTGAACTTTGTCCTCCAGCTTTGGAATGTAGAACTCTTCAGCAATGACGTCTTTAGTTTTCTTTGTTGAGAAGTGTCCTCTTTCGTGCGCCTGTTTTATGATGTCGCGTTGTAAAGCTGCTAGTACCACGATTAGTTCATTGTCGTCGACCATCTTGTGCAATAGACCAGCTTTCATAAAATAATTGTTGTGTGTAGCCTTTTCAGCAAGAACATCTATAATTGCTTTCAGCTCCTCGTCTTGTGCCTGTACGCATCTCAATTTGCTGTGGATATGGTTGTCAGAAATCATCATCATTGGGAAACGGCTTAAAGCATCTACATACGTGCCGAATGCGGGAACCAGCTCTGTGTTCGACAGTAAAGTGGAACTCTTCCATAAGGAGAATCCAGCGTGCAACTCTGGTACATAAGTCTCGCTTCTCCAAAGTCTTGGTAAAGGCATTGCAGTCACTCACAAGTTTAAAATGAGTGCCCAATAGGTAGACTCGAAACTTTCGTAATGCCTCCACAACAGCCAAAATTTTCAGTTCGTAGCTTGTAAATTTTCTCTGGGCATCCGTAGTTTTTCTGCTCATGTAGTATACTTGATGAGCGCAATTATCATCTGGTGACTTCTGAATCAGCATAGCTCCAAATCCGTCTATGGAAGCGTCTGTGTGAAGTTCGGTCTTGTGCTGGGGGTGAAATATTTTCAGGACTGGTTTTTCTGTAATTAAAGTCTTTAACATATTTAATGAAGCAATCTCTTTTTCATTCATGCAAAATTTGGCGTCTTGGCTTTGCTATCAACGAAAAATTCGGTATAAATTTACGGAAGTATCCAACCAATCCCAGAAAGCTCTGCAACTGTTTCTGGCTTGTAGGCATTGGAAACTTTGTAACAGCTTGCGTCTTCGAATCGGATCTGCAAATTTCATTCTTTTCAATCACGTGACCCAAAAACTCGATCTTAGTTTTAAGGAAACAGCATTTCTTCAGATTTAGCTTCAGACCGTACTCTTCACATCGCTTTAAGACTTCAATCAGATTCAATATGGCCTCTTCTTCTGTTTTCGCTGGTATTATTATATCGTCAACATACGTTATGGCTATACCAGTACGTGTCAAATCTCTGAATACGGCATTAACGTGTCGTTGAAATACTCCTGGGGAATTTGCCAAACCAAAAGGTACCTTCCGAAACTGATACTGACCATTGTGTGTTACGAATGAAGTATATTTTCTGCTATCGTCTTCTACATTCACATGGAAAAACCCGTTCTTGAGATCAATCGTGCTGAAAATGTTTGCATCTTGGAGTCTGTCCAGCTGATCCTCGATCAACGGCAAAGGGAAATGATCTCGAACTATAGCTTTATTTATACGCCTGAAGTCAATGCATAATCTCGGGGAACCATAGCGTTTTTTTACCAAAACAACGGGACTACTGAATTCGGAATCGGAATACTCTATAATATTTTCTTTTAGCCACTGCTCGACTTGCTCGTAAATGATGCAACGCTCGGAATAGGCAAACCTACGGGGCCGCGAATAAATTGGAGTGTCGTCTTTCAAAACAATTCGCATTTCTACGTTTGTGGATTTCGTGCTTGTTGGACTGTAGTTTTGTACCAGTTCTTGTACCTTCTTTCTAGCGCTTTCACTTGCATTAACATCAATGTCGACATCTGTTGGATTGTGATCAACATTTATTTTCATAAGAAAACTTACTTCATCGTCCTCTGTGTTTGTTGCAGCCTTTTGGATTGTTATACCGCGCCGATTAATTTTTATTTGCGCATCTTTGCAAAATTCTTCGCCCAAAACAATGTCAACATCGAAAATTTTTGATGATACCACAAGAAACATTGTTTTAAACTGGTGTCCATCCACTTCAATATTGTTACAAAACGAGCCGTATGGTTTTACTCTGTTCTCATTACCAAACCCGACCAGATACATATTCGTTTTACATAAATTTGGTTTATTTAGACTTTCATAAGTGGCTTCATTTACAATGTTATATTTACTGCCGGTATCTATAAGTGCTTCAAATTTTTTACCGTTCATGTCCACTGATTTACACATTAGCGTATGCTGTGTTAACACCTTGTGCACTAAACTCACATTCTTGGCAGTATCGTCGTTCGCGGAACATTCTTTTGCAATATGCCCGAAATTGTTACATTTAAAACATTTCTTTCCTTTGATTTTGTTTTCACAATTTACCGACGTATGGCCTTTAGCACCGCAATTGTAACATTTCACATTTTTCACCTCGTTATTTGTCGAATTTTCTTTTCTGCTTGTAATTCCCTTATAGTTTTCATTATTTTTGGCACTCTCATTTTTTCCGCGTATCTTCTCGTAACATTTTAGTTTGTCTTTAAACTCCTTAAGATCTTTTGCATTATATAAAATAGATTTATTCACGTTTAAATCGTTTATTCCGTCTATTACATAAAACATAAGCGCGTTGTTCTCGATATTACCGCGCGATGCAAGTTCCTTCATAGTAAGTAAATATTCCTGCAAACTCTCATTCTTTTTTATTTTCCTCTCTGACATTAATTTATGTAGTTGCGCACTATTTACTTGAGTTTGAAACTCACTCAAAAGCGACTCTTTAAGCATATGCCAGTTCTTAATACCGCGCTCACTCATAACATATGTTTTTGCTAGTCCCTTTAGCGACCTTTTGGCAAAAATAAATTTTTGAAGTTCATCCCAATACATCATAATAGCCATTTCTTCAAAATCATTAAGCCAAACCTCAACTGGTAATGAGTCATCACCACTAAATGAACGTATCGAGTCTTGTATATCGTAAAAACTTAACCCGAATCTCGGCGGTTGCATACTTTGCATAGGCACTGTAAAGCAATTCTGTTTTGCGTTCTCATTAGTATGTTGTTGTTGTACGTTGACTGTACTACAATGTGGCGTGTTACTGTTTTGTCTTTCGTTTTCCCTATTCTCTTCACCGTTCTCAATGCTCATACTTATGTAATTATCATCTTCGTCTTCACTTTCAGCATTATCGCTGTCCTCTTCGCTAAAATCTGCGTCTACCAACAAGTTCGATTTTTCATGGTTACAAAATATGTGTTTAGCCAAATCCTCTTTATCATGCTGCAAACATAACACATTGCAAATCACTGCCAAATCGTAATTCGTTAAATTTTCAGCTATGTATGTGACTTTCCGATCATACTGTTCATTTTCGACGCCATAATTGAAACCCTCAAATGCACGTAAGCGTTTGCGGTTGTCTCGATCGCCGTTGCGTTCAAACACGAATTTGTGCAATAATTCAATTATTTGTTTCTTTTCGTTTTTTAACGCGTCCTTCATTTTGTCAAATTCCACTAGGCGCGTCATATTGTTGCCGTTAAAATTTCTTAACTTCTTAGAATTGTTACTCTGCGTCGTTTTGCACACTTTATACACACATATACATAAGTATTATGCACAAGCAGCACCGTCGTTTGTATGCTTGTGTACTAAGTATATTTATGTATCACGTCGTCGTTTTATGTATGTATGTACGCACTTAGAAACGTCTTTTCTACCGCACTACAATTATTTATACATGCACATCAGTATGTATAGCAATTTTCAAAACGCACTTGTCACTCGTTGACCTTCGACACTTTTCTGTTCTGCTTTACACATAAAACCTCTGATCATAACTGTTCTTTTGTAGGTTGAGCCCCTAAATATGTGGGATTGGGTTTATTTAACTTGTTGAAAGAAATAGACTTGTAGTTTTTGTTTACAATGTTTAATATAAAGGTATTTCATAAAGTGTTAAGTATTGAATTTAAATGAAACTTTGAAATGAGTCGTCGTCTTAAAACCGTCTTGAAATCGTCTTGAAATCGTCTTGATCCGCTTGATCACGTCTTTTCGTCTTTAGCTCTTCTTTTTGACTCCTCTCGTCAGCTCACTTCGCTTCTAACTTTAATTGTATCGATAATTAATCGTCTTTTCAGGGATGTGGTGGACTGGCTGTGCATAGTTTCCAGACCAATCCCATGTGTTCATTGGGCCTGGTTATATGGCTATAACTTTCTTTCCGATCATTCTATCATAATGAAACTTGGTATACGGATATATAATCACTAACCTAATGTAAATCGTTAATAGGGGGGGACTGGGGGGGTGGATCAGAAAAAATAAACAAACTCGATCTGCCTAGGGCTTATAGGAACCTTGATACCAATTTTGGTTATCCTAGCTCTTGTACTTACTGAGATCCTTGCGCTCATACAGACACACGGACAGACGGACAGACAGACAGACAGACATGGCTATATCGACTCGTCTTGTCATCCTGATCAAAAATATGTACGGTTGTTACTCTGCCGCGGGTATACTCGCCGGCCACAGTTTGCTGAAATAAATTAGGCACCCCAAAGTGCCAAGGTGTCCACCAAATAAAAGAGGGCGGTACGCCAAGTGAATCCGTTCCACGTGTTTTAATTTCCTAAATTTCCAATTTTAAATAAGTTTGAAGGTTCTGTTAAGCCACCAGTCTTATTTAGAAACATACATATTATAAAGGCTATAAGCAAGGCAAGCAGCAATGGTAACCAAATTACTTGGTGATTTTCTGGAATTATATAAAAAGGACACAGAAGCATATGTGGATTCTTTTGATAATTTCGGAATGATACCAAGCACCACCTATAATGATTTTGTGATGCACGCGGAAGAGTCAGATTTAGAGGCAGTATTAACTCTCCACACAAATATAACTGGAATACTGCCCTTTTTGTATAACAGGTGTGGATTGTCAGTACCGCCAACACCACACCCATTCCGTCCGACTTGCATGGATTTTTAAGAGCTCTTCCTGCCATGGTATCAACTACCAGTATGACTTGAGAAGTAAAAAATACGATGGATATTTCAAAAATAGTGAGAGAGACTTTGAAAATGTACAATTAATATTTAGCGCAATTAGGCCGGACTTCAAAATTGTACAATTATTTTAAAGTTCTACTTTAGTATTGCCATTCTTAATGTTAAATGAACTAAAGGTTTTTATATAATAAGTATTATACAACTGCTCAAAATATAATACATTCTAAAATTAATTAAATAAATAACCTTTGTAACTACTTTTACGCCTTTCGTTTGATTTATTGTCTTAAGCTCGATAAGGCGACCCGTCTTACTGTAAATAGCCGCGTTGTATAGTTCATAGTCTATTTACTGTAACGGTGATACTCTGCCGCGGGTATACTCGCCGGCTAGAGTGTACTGGAAATTTAAAGTATGGGCACCCCAAAGTGCGATTCTTTAAATAAAAATATAAACTTTAATTATGCCACATGGTCCTTTTACTTCACGTCCGCTCTTGCTGCGTCGAAGACAGTGCAACGGGCCTCCCATCGGTGCCGTTGTGGTATAATTTGTGCTGTATGTCGTTTATGTCTGCAGGTTTACGTGGAGCTAGGAGCGCCCTCCGCTCTTGTCGCCACCTGTTGTTGCGGCTGCCGGCGTCGCCACTGCCTTCATCAACGTTGCCTTAGCCGCTACTATCACTG